GCCCATTTCCTTATGCACGCCCTGCGGGCCCGTGCGGGCCCTCACGGGCGGGGGCACCGGGGGCCGCGGGGGCTGCATGATGAAATTTCTTGCCACCCTCCTCGCCGGCAGCAACCTCGGCCGTCGACGACAACGAAGACGACGACGACGCCGCCCGAGACGACGACGACGACGAAGACGACGACGACGACGGGACGACGACAGACAACGACCAGGACGACAGAGACGGCGACGACAGCGACGACGACGACGACGAGACGACGGACAACGACAGACGACAACAGCGACGAACGACATGGAAGAGACCTCGGGGACCCCCGTCCAGGCCCGACCCAGCCCAGTCCTCTGAAGACTGGGAGGGGGGAGGGAGGGAAGACGGGGGACCAGAGATGAGGAGGGACGGTACTGTCTTGACAGCTGCTCAAGGTAGGACCGCTACGGGGGACAAATGGGTTCCCAGAGCGCCGCGTGGCCTATGGCTCACACCTTCGGCCGTGGCGTCGGGAGAAAGTAAGCTGGACCCCTCGAAGGCGCTCCTTCAAAGGGGGCGAGGGATGCTGTAGCTCGTGAGGCGGGGGATCGAGAGTCCAGAGGGGATTCATGTCTCCCGCGCGAATCTGATACAAAATCATCGGACTCCCCTCCGCAACAGGGTCAGATGGGATAGGGAGAGGGAAAGGGGGGGAAGCGAGCACGGAGATCACAAACATCACGTCTTACGGTGCCGTCCAGCCTGGGGGCGGCAGCGGCGGGGGCACGCAGTGGCCCGCGCAGGGCGGCTGCGCGCCGTTGTTCCACGGGGCGGTCCATGGATCTTGTGGAGCGCCGCCTCCTTCGCAGGGCCCCCTCCCGCGATGTGGACGGCGCCGCCCTTCTTCCAAAAAGCGTGGATGGCTCCACGCTTCGCGGACTTCGGGCCCAGCTGCAGCAACAGGCCACGCGGAGACTTTCCCTCGACCGCCGCATTTCTGGGGAGGTGGTCGCAAGTAGCCCCTGGGCCCATGACTGGGCTCGCCCCGACCGTGAAGGCCCAGTAGAAGATGTCGCGGTCCGTCGGGAGCTGTCCCCCGGGGAGGGGGACCAGCCACCAGTCGTACCTCTTCTTTGAATCGAGGCTGGTGGGGCTCAAGGCTTGCGCGCGCAAGTGGATCTCCGGGAAGAGCTCGTTGGCGCCGGGCTGCGGGGCGACCTTGGACGGCGGGACCAGCGGGGCACCCGCGTGCGGGGCTCCCAGCACAGGGGTCTGGCGCGTGCCTGCTGACTTCTGGGTCCACGCCAGAGCTGGACCGCCTGGAGTGGGGCCCGAGGCGCTGGCCGCAGTCTGCTGCGCGCGCCACTCCTCCCAGCACTGGAGGCAGTAGGCCTTCGTTGAGTGCTCCCCCTCTCCGCGCACAAGGGGGCCCACTCCGGACGCGCGCCCTGCGCAGCACGGCTGGGACTCCACCGGCGAGGGAGCTTGTGGCTGCTGCGGGGGCTGCTGCTGCTGCTGCTGCTGCTGCTGCTGCTGCTGCTGCGGCGACTGCTGCTGCTGCTGCACCAGCCAGGGGAGCGCGGCCCCAGTGCCACGGGGGGGACGGTGCGTTCTGCGCGCGCTGCTTCTTCCGCGGCGCCTCGACCGTGTCCTCGCGTGCTGGCGGCGCCGCCGCTTGAGGGCCTGCCGCCTGGGAACACAAGTGCCGCTGGTGCCACTGCTGCTAGCACCCGCCGCAATAAAACTTCTCGGCGTGGTCGCCCCGACCAGAAGCAAGGGCAACCCCCGTGGCCCCGCAACCGTGGCAGGGTTGATTCACAGTGGATGCAACGTCCCCCGCTGGTGTCGCGCCCATTGTGGGGCAAGGCTGTTCTGGGGCCTTCGCATGACCTCCCTTTGCAGCTGCCGCCCCAAGGGCTGTCTGGACTGCGACCTCACCGGGAGGCGGTCCCCCCGAGGCCTCGGCAGTGATCCACTGCTGCTGCTAGTCCGGAGTATGCGCGTCCATTGTTCCTCGACCGCGTGGCTGTACAGCGGTTTCTGCTTCTGGTCTGCGGTGGCAGCCGCACGCAGGGTCAGGCGCAGGGCGTTGCGGTGCTGCATCCAGAAGTCGAGAACTCGCTGGGGAGGAAAGTGCGCTGGCTCCCCCACTGGCTGCATGGCGCTAGTGCAGGTGCGGTCTGGAACGATGAGAAGGTCAGGATTGCAGCACTGCTTGAGCCTGGTGGCTATGGAAGCGGGGGGGTGGGCGGGGGGAAGGAATGCCCAAGCTTTCCCCAGCGGCCGTCTTGGCAACCCAGCCCGACAGGAGTCCCCAAAGCAACAGGACGCCGGAGGCATCCTGGGGGCGGGTGTAGAAGCAGACTGCGGGGACGGCTGGATGCTCTAACAGGGGGGGGGGCGACAAAGCAGGGAAAGCAAATCTGGCCCAGCCCAACTCGGCCCGGCCCGCCCGCCAGCCCTTTGAGGACCAGGAGGGAGGGAGGGAGAGAGGGAGGGGGGGAGGAAGGAAGGAAGGGAAGGAAGAGGAGAACCCAGCCCGACCCAGCCCAGCCCTGCCCGTCCCAGGAGAAGAAGGAGGACGAAGATGAGTAGAAGGAGGACGAGGAGGAGGAGGAGATGGATGAGGAGGAGGAGGAGGAGAAGGAGAGGAGGAGGAGGAGGAGGAGAAGGAGGAGGAGGAGGAGGAAGAGGAGGAGGAGAGGAGGCGGAGGAGGAGGAGGAGGAGGAAGAAGGAGGAGGATGACGAGGAGGACGAGACGAGGACGAGGACGAGGAGGAGGACGGGAGGAGGAGGAGGAGGAGGAGGAGGGGGAGGAGGAGGAGGAGGAGGAGGAGGAGGGAGGAGGAGGAGGAGGAGGGAGGAGAGGAGGGAGGAGGGAGGAGGAGGAGGAGGAGAGGAGGAGGAGGAGGAGGAGGAGGAGGAGGAGGAGGAGAGGAGGAGGAGGAGGAGGAGGAGGAGGAGGAGGAGGAGGAGAGGAGGAAGGAGGAGGAGGAGAGAGGAAGACCGCTGTACGGTCGGGAACTTTTGCCTAGCGTGTCGAAGCGGCGGCCCCAGCGACACGGTATGCCATGCGAGCGGATGACATGTCGTTCCGCCACGCGGGGCGGGAAGCTGGGGAAAACTCGGGACCTTCACACCTGGGGACCGCGACATGGATAGCGTGTCGCGCCGAAGCGAGCTGGGCTAGAACTGGCGGAGCGACACGCTACCCGAGAGTTCCCGACTGTAAGTTTTCTTACATGGGTGTACGGTGTCCAGGCGGGGCGGAGGATGAGGAGTGATGAGGCGAAGGCTGAGTAGGGCTGCCCAAATGTTTGAGCAGCTGTTTGGGGATCCGAGGGACGGGGGAGGATCGTTCGTTCGACCAGTCGTTTTTCAGAGAGTTTGGGGCACGCCCACGCACGGACGATAGCACTGAATCTGGATGGCAAGGATGTGTGCGTATACACATACACATACATGTATACACACATGTACATATGTAACTATGCCGATATACGTGTTAGACAGCATGGATCCCCCAAACAGTGTGTTTCCTAGCTCTCTGCTTTGTGCGATCTATGGGGTGCGCTCTATGTTGTGCAATGTAGGTTGTGCAGTCTCTGTGGTGCGCAAGTTAGGTTGTGCACCCTATGCTGCGTACTATCTGTGGTGCAATACATGTGATGCAATGTATGTAGTGCAATCTAGATGGTGCAATCTATGTGATGGCGCAATATATGCGGTGCAATCGACTTGGTGCAACGTAAGTGGTGCAATATCTGAGGTGCAATCCGTGTGGTGACATATAGGCGGTGCACTCTACGTTGTGCAATGTAGCAATGCAAAGCAATGCTATGCAGAGCAACGCCAAGCAACCTGTGTGGTGTACTCTAAGGGCGGCGACGAGCGGCGACGGGGCGGCGACGGCGACTGCGTAGCCGCCAGCCCGACGCACAAGCCCACACGATGGGCGGCGTCGGCGGCGACGGGGCAGCGACGGCGACCGCATAGCAGCCAGACCGACGCACAAGCCGAGACGATGGGCTGCGATGGGGCGGCGACGGAGCGGCGACGGCGACTACATAGCCGCCAGACCGACGCACAGGCCCATTTCCTCAGACAAAAGTAAGAACCCCTATATGCAAAGAGTGTTTTGGGAATAGGTGTGTGTATGTGAATATAGATATGTATGCATATTTATGTCTATCTGTATGTGTATTATGTATGTATACACACATAAAGCGAGAGAGAGAGAGAGACAGAGGGAGATATACAGAGAGAGAGAGAGAGAGAGAACTAGAGATGAGGGGATGAGGCGGATCAGAGGGGTGTTTCCGATGATTGTGTGATCCTATAGGTTTCTGTATTATTGCAGGGTTCCAGAGGGGTTCTTGGACCAGCACGCGGGTGCAGGAAGCCTGACCACGAAGCGCGGATGGTGATGATGGGGATGATTATGATGCTGCTGATGATGATGCTGCTGATGACAATGATGATGGTGGTGGTGCTGATGAGAATGATGATGCCTACGTGTGAGGAGGATGGTGGGAGCTGGAGGGGGGAGGGAGGACGAGGGAGATACCGATAACGTTTGCGTACGAAGTTTGCTGTGCCATCGAGTTCACAGTGGTTCTTGCATCCCTCTTCCTCGCTCTGCTTCCTCCTCGTAGTCCCCTCCTTCCCTCCTCCCCCCTCCATCCTTTCTTCTCCTCCTGCTGGTTCTCCTTCCCATCGTTATCGTCGTCGTCGTCGTTCTCCTCCTCCTCCTTCTCTTCCCACCTTTCCTCTTCCTCCTTCTCCTCCTAATGCTCCTCCTCACATCTTCCTCCTCCTCCTCCTCCTCCTCCTCCTTCTCCTCCTCCTCCTCCTCCTCCTCCCTCCTCCTCCTCCCCTCCTCCTCCTCCTCCTCCTCCTCCTCCTCCTCCTCCTCCTCCTCCTCCTCCTCCTCCTCCTCCTCCTCCTCCCCTCCCCTTTCTTCTCCTCCTCGTGCAGCGACGAAGAGACGGTTCTCTCGCCGACAGCCAGGAAAAGGGCGGTGTGCACGCGAAGCACTGGAAGCCCTCCACGGAAGCGCCGGCGCCCAGATTCAGCTTCCAGACCTCGGTAGTGAGGATGGGAGAAGAGGAGGGTGAGAGGAGGCCGAGGGAGGAGCGGGACGAGAGCAGGGGAAATATGATTATGATGACAATGAGACTTCTACTCATACTGATGCTGATGACGGCAATGAGCAGGATTATGATGATGATGCTGATGCATCTGATGCTGATTACGATGCTGATGATGATGATGACGATGGTGATGATGATGGTGATGATGATGATGGTGATGGTGATGGTGGTGATGATGCTGCTGCTGCTGATGCTAATGCTGCTGATGATGAGGAGGATCGGAGAGAAGGGGGGACCAAGAGGGGGATAGGTGGGGCCTGGGAGCAGACGGAGGGAGGATTAGGTGGAAGGCAGAGGAGAGAGGAGGGGGCGGGGAGGGAGAGGCGAGGAGCAGGAACTGGACGCTCCCTCTCCCCTCCTCCCCTACCCTGGGGCGACGTCGGACGGAGGGCCGCGAGGTCTGCCGCCTCGCCGCCGCACCCGATCCTACTCATCGCCTCCCCACGCCGTCGCGACTCCTGCTGTCGCACCCGCCGTCTCGTGATATGCACATACACGGGAATATGCGTGTACATACATCTCAGAGAACGCGTTTCGTGGAGGCTTGCCTTGAACAAATCTCCTCGGACACGTCGGAACTCTCCTGCCCCCCCTAAACGATTGGCGCGCCGCGCGCCGGAGAACGCCCCCCCCCCCCCCCCCACCCCCTCCCCTGATATCGGCCTCTCTACAGGGGGGGTGAAGCCACACACCCCTCCGAAAGGGAGGGGGTTCGAACCCCCCCACGACTCCCCCGTGCAATGGGGGGGGCGTTCGAACCGCTCCCCCGCCCCCCTAACAGAATCCCATTATGGCTCGATCCAGCCCGAATGGGGTCTTACTATAGCTGAGCTCAACTTTACGAACATCCCAGTTGGGCTCGATCCAACTTTGACCGGCCAGCAACCTCCAGGACCCATTTTTCTGGACCTCTCCCTAACCTCGGATGTTTTTATTTTTTTGTTTTCTATCTCTCTCTCTCTCTCTCGCCTTTTTTCTTCAAAACGTGGAACAGGTCTGGACTACTTCTCCGGGACAGGTTTTTCATCCTGAGTCGTTTTGACGGCCTTGTAAGGGCTTCCAGAAAACGGAAATTGCCCCAAACCTTCTGTTTTGATTTTCACGTCGCGACAGGGTCTGGTGTTCCTGCATGGCGACTGTCTCGCACAACATCGAGCAGCCCGAAGTCAGGGGCTGCCTGGGCCAGAATGCCACCAAGCCTCCCACTGCGACCGCCAGTCACGGGCAACAGATACATCGGGTACGGGCGCCCGCTTCCATCTGACCGACGACTATGACCCACCAACGCAGTGAACCCGACAACAATTCATGTCTCAGCAAAGGTACCATAACCAGGCGATGAAGAAAACTATATCCGAAGTAGGCAGGAGTAGAGAGACGAGGGGAAACGAAGTGGGAAGGCGGAGTACGTATGACGAGAACGGGGGCGTGTTTGCTCTTTATGTGCCCATCGCTGGGGCGACACATACAGTAATTATCGATGCCACGCCGCCATGAGGAACCCATCAGCGTGTAACCGTTGAAGGAATCCAGGGTCCTCCGACAAAAGCGAATGAGCAACATGCTGACGGGCTCCCAACGGCAATGCATTTCTGATGGTGCCCTCTTTCCCTCCCGGATCAAAAGGCCGACTTCGAGAGGCGAATGGAAACGGGCATCTGGAGAGCCAGACTCCCGACGTCATGATTTCTTTTATGACATGGGCCCCCAAAGGTCTCGACCCATTCCACGGGACCGGTTTTTCATCCCGAGTCGTTTTTTGGAGGTCCCGAGGCCCAGCAAGGGCACCTGGAGGCCGAAGATAATGAGACACCGCCTGTCGCGATTTCTCCATGGCCCGAGGGGATCTGGACATGAGGGGCAACGATAGGGGGGATGAGCATCGGGGGGGAAAACACCGACCTGGAATCAGCGATACATCGCCGATAGATCGGCGATGGGCCCCCGATAGGGGATCCGCACGTTCCTGGGGCGGGCGCGGGCTAGCGGGGCCCTGTCGGCGATCCATGGGCGATCGGGGGTCGATGCATCCCGCCCTATGCCTATCGCCCCCCCCTGCCGTTGCCCCGGAGGAGACCTCGCACCGCTGGAACTCGCTGGAGTACTCGATGCCGGTGCACGCCTCCTCTCTGCTGCAGAGGTCCTGCTGGGTGGCCGCGGTGGCCGCCGCTTCCAGGGCGAGGGGGCCGGGAGGCCGACCTCTGCAGCCCTCCCGCCCCCTCGCACCATCCTCGTCCTCCACTGCTTCTGCCCTCCCATCGCCATCCTCCCCCTCCACCTCCTCGTCCTCCTCGTCCTCCTCGCACCTCCTCGTCCTCCTCCTCCTCGTCGTCCTCCTCGTCCTCCTCCTATCGCCCCCTCGCATCTCCTCGTCCTCCTGGTCCCTCCCCCTCCACCTCCTCGTCCCCCCCGTCTCCCTGCCGTCACTCGGACGTCCATTCCCCGTGCGTTTTTCGGTCTCGTGTGTGCGTGTTTTGCCAGATGATCGAAGAGGCTCCTCGATGGTCCTCGCCGAAACAAGTGCACGCGTCCGAGCGATGCCAAGTCTCCTCCTCTAGAAGAGCGAACCAGTGCATAATTCGCCGGCCCAACGGGCCAGGGCGTGCTAAGATCTCCGGTACCTGGTTAACAGTATTTCTAGTTCGCGCGCGCGGGGCGGCCCCAAGTCCCCGGCAAGGTCGGGTCAGAGATGCCGGAGTTCTGTTACAGGGCCCCAGGACGGGCCAAGAGGGCCCCGAGACGGCCAAAGATCGCCCGAAGACGCCCAACAGGGCCCCAAGACAGCCCAAGAGGCCTCCAAGACGCCCCAAGGGCCTTCCAAGAGGCCTCCGAAGAGGGCCCCAAGAGGCCAAAATCGTTGATTTTCATTGTTTTTTTCTATGTTTTTTGCGTTCTGGCTTTTTCGGCTTCCGGACGCTCCAAGACGGCCCAAGAGGCCCCCAAGACCGCTCCAAGACGGCCCACGAGGCTCCCAAGACGGCCCCGGAACGGCCCAGGAGGGCCCCCAAGCCGGCCCAAGTGCCGCCCAAGACGGACCAAGAGGCCCCAAGACGGGCCCAAGAGGGGCTCAAGAGGGGAACCGAGAACTGACAAATCGAGCCCTCCGCCCCAGAAGGCGCCCAGGAGGCCCCAAAAAGGCTCCAAGAGGCCCCCAAGAGGCCCCCAAGACGCCCCAAGAGGCGCCCAAGAGGCCCAAAAGAGGCCCCAAGAGGCCCCAAAACAGCCCCCAAGAGGCCCCAAAACTCGGCTAGTGCCACAACGGTGCGACAATATGGGCCGGCGGAATGAGCGAAGCGATTAAAAAATAAACCTTTCTACGGCCCGCGCGAATTTCTTGGATCTGCGCTGGGCCCCTCTTCCTGGCGCGTGGAGCGCGCCAGGGGCGGCGTTGGAGGCGCCGCTCCTCTCCCTTCCATCACGCCTCCCTCCTCGCTCAGGCTCCCGCCTCCTCCTCCCTCCTCCTCCGCATGCCCAGGGTGGGTGGTTGGGGCCGCGGTGCTTTTGGACCGCCGGGCAGGGCGGCACATCAGTAGTGCCATGGCTGTTTTTGAGCTTTGAGCTCCGTCCTTGCGGCCCCCCAAAGGGGGGCCCCCAGACTGCGCTGCGGGGCACGACGCTTCCTCCTGCCGAATCAATTCGATCCTCCTCCGCATCCCGCTTCTGGTTCCTCGTGTTAGGTCGGGCATGTCCTCCTACAGGCGGATTTTGCAGGAAAAATTATAAATAAGCAGAAAATAATCAAACATAGTCAAACGAGCACAACAAATCGTCACCATGTATTATTTGACTATTCTTGGATATTCCTCCTGTGCCCGACTTAATCCTCGACGCCCCATCGGACCACCCTGCCAACGGCGCGACGGCCAGAGCCTCCCTCCCCCAACAAAAACAGCACGGCTCCTTGCACTCGTCGATTTTGGCCACCTTCGTGAAGACGGTGCAGCCACTCCGGTTGACCTCGTCTCCGTCACAGCCGTCCTCCGCCGCCGCAAGGCTGGGCTGACACTGAGGAGAACAATTAGCGTGTTGGGAGGAAGGGGTTGGGATGATGAAGGGTATGAGCAATATCATCTGGATGCAATGAACGATACCTTCGGCCGCCTACGGGTAATGATATCCTCATTTCTCGAAACCCACTCCTCCCAACCCGATAATTGTTCCTGAGACACCGATGCGGGGTGTGTGTGCGGCGGATTCCGGAAACCCTGAACCCCAAAATGTTGTCATTTCTTGGGAGGTCGACTTTTGCTTCCGCCGGCTTCCGCCGAGCTTCCGCCGGCTTCCTCTGGCGGAGCCGTCGTTTTACTTCAGCCGCCTTCCGCTGAGGAAGAGATGACTAGTCCTTCGATCCTCGAAGGCAAGGCCCTTTTTGGAACGCCCCACGCACATGTTCACATGGTCGGCTCCAGAAACCCTGGATCCACAAATGTTGACTTATCACGCTCACTTCCGCCGCATTCCGCAGACCCTCTGCTGGCGAAACCGCCACAGTTTACCTCCACCGACTTCAGGGAGCTTCTGCCGAGGGCGAGAACCTGACAAAGGCGATACCCTTTCTGGAGCGCGCCACATCAATATTACACTGAACATTTATGGTCATACAGACACGCACGTACATACATTCACACACACAGATACATACGAACGCAAGACTGCAATGGTGCTTCGCGCCATGCACCTTTGCCACCCAGGTTCCTCAATTAGGCGAAAGGAGAATGAGAGAGAGAGGGGAGAAAGAGAGAGAGAGAGAGAGAGACACATTGAGGGAGCACAATACTAATGCGAAGGTCACCCTTTCCCCGTTTTGGTTCTCGTCGTTTCCTACCTCTCTTCCTTCACCCGGTTCTCATACTTCTGGGCCCCCTTCTCGTTCTGCCCCATCCCTGCGTCCCTCCTCGAACTTTCGCAAGTTGCTCAGCATGAGATATTCGGGGCCTCCTAGATGGGGTCCGAGTAGATGGGGTCAGAGGATCGCGCCGCATCGCCGCTGCATCACCGATACATCGACGATGCATCGACGATGCTTCGCCGATGTATCGGTGATGCGACGTGATCCTCCGACCCCATCTACTCGGACCCCATCTAAGAGGCCTAAAGGCATGCCATGTAAGCACACCATGCCCCAACAGAACGCGAGGGGATGCCGCTCTCTGCTGCGGAAGCCGCGAAAAAGGGGCGCTACGTCGCGGCCATCCTCACCCCAGCCTCCGCGCATCGTCCGTCATATCGCCACTGGCGTCGTCGCCAACCACATCACCTCCGAAAGGGCTGTACGCCCGCCTGCTCTGAACTCCCCTTCTGCGGGGAACGTGTGGTGGAGAACCAATGAAGGAGAGAGGAGGATGTATATACATATGCATATCTATATGTGTTTGTGTATATTGATGTATATCTACACGTATATATGTATGTGAAGACGAAGCTAGGACGAAGATAACATCGGGTACGGACACATCGGGAATCTGTGTGATCTGGCGGCTCTGGAGGATGCCTCGGGCGCCGCGGCCTTCTCAGAGCATTCCGCGACGCTGTGAGAGCGTTCCGGAACGCTCTGGAATGGATTTATCCTCGCCCTAGCCCCGCCCGACACTTATTCTACATATATATATAGATTTAGCTGTGCTAATATACTCGGTTCCCTGATTCATAGAAAACTTATCTAGGACAACTTCGGGCCCTGCCGGGGAGGCTGATTCGGGAGTGCATGTTTGCATGTTTGTATGTATGTATATATATATACATATATATGTATGTATGCCTGTCTGCCTGTCTGTATGTATGTACGCATGTAGGTATGTCATATCGGTTTGCATGGCTACAGATGCAAATACATATATATATATATATATATATATATAGGTGTATCGATATATATATATATATATATATGTGTGTGTATTTGTATATATAAGTATATACACATGTATATTCACTACCGTGCCGCTGGGCACGAGTGGGCATGTCTTCAGGTCCCTACACTACCCCTCTGAGCCTCAGTCGTCACTCCTGAAGAGTTCTTAAGAAGGTTTGGAGCCTCTCGGGCCACATCTTCTGGGGCGGCCCGCGTCTTGTCGCATGACTGTTTCGGACCTAGAAGGGCCCCATGACGGGCCAAGAGAGCCTCAAGAGGCCCCGAAGTCGATCCAAGAGGACCCCGAGTCGCCGAACGATCGCTCCAAGACGCTCGAGATGGCTCCCAGACGGCCCAAGAGGTCTCCAAGACGGCCAAAGAAGCCTCCAAGAGGCCCCCCAAGAGGGGCCCAAGAGGCCAAACTCATGGATTGTTCTAATGTCTTGTCGCAGATTTTGATGTTCTCTCCTTTTCGGCTTCCCGACGCTCCCAGACGGCCCTAGAGGCCCCCAAGACCGCCCCAAGACGGCCCAAGGGGGGCCCCAGGACGGTCCCAAAAGGGCCCTCCAAAGGGGCACACGAACCGAAAATCAGAGTCTTCCACCTCGAGAGGCTCCCAGGAGGCCCCAAGAGGCGCCCAGGAGGCCTCAAGATGCCCCCGAGAGGCCCAAGAGAAGCTCCAAGAGGCCCCCGAACGGCCCCCAAGAGGCGTCCAAACTGCCTCCAAGAGGCCCCCGAGGAGCCCCCAACGAGATCCCAACGAACCTCAAATAGGCTTCAGACCCACCCAAAGAGGCCAAACTCATTGATTTTCATTAGGTTTTTGAAGGTCGTATTTGCTCCTTTCGGCTTTCCGACGACCGAAGACGTCCCAAGAGGCTCCCAAGATCGCCCCCACAGCGCCCAAGAGGCCTCCAAGATAGCCTCAGGACTGCCCAAGAGGCCCCCAAGACGGCCCCAAGAGGGCACAAAGACGATCCAAGAGGCCTCAAAGACGCCCAAGATGGCCTCTAAGACGGCCCTGGAGCACCCCAAGAGGGCCCCACGTCGGCCCATAGAGGCCCTCAAACGGCTTCCGACGGCGTCAGACGGGCCAGGGGCCCACCAAAACGACCGAAGTTGGCTCGAAGCTGGCCCAAAACGGCCCAAGAGGCCTCCAAGATGGCCTCCAGGAAAGCCAACAACATTTGTTTTACGGTTTTTTGAAGTTTTTGGCATTTGTTTCTGTTCGGCCATCCGAAGGCCCAACACGGCCCAAGAGCCCCCCAACGATCGCCCAAAGATGGCCCAAGAGGCTTCCAAAATGGCTCCAGAACAGCCCAAGAGGCCCCCTAGACTGCCCAGGAGGCTTTCAAGACGCCCCCTGGAGCATTCCAAAGAAGACCCCAAGTCGACCCAGAGGGGCCCCCCAAACGGCTTCCGACGGCGTCGGACGGGCCAGGAGCCCACCAAAACGACAGAAGATGGCCCTAAGATGACCCAAGACGGCCCAAGAAGCTTCCAAGAGGGCCCCCAGGAAGGCCCGAACTGGCAAACTTATCCCGGTGACGTACCCAACCCTTGCGCAATGCGGGGCATACATACATCAAGATTGCTACAACGGGGGCGATGACGCAACATGGACGCATGTGATTTTGCGAGCAGCAATCGGAAGGCTCGCAGGCCCCCGATCAAGATCGATGGGCTACGTAATAACAAATCACCCCCGTTGGCTGTGCCATGCGCCCGTTGCACCCAACGTATCCCACAGCAGCTCTTGAGAGCCCCCGCGGGATACGTATAGGCGCAACGTTAAGGCCATCGCCCGCAGATGGACTGTTTCACAAATCACCCCCCTTGGCTGTGCCATGCGCCCGTTGCGCCTAACGTATCCCGCAGCAACTCTCCAGAGCCCCCCCCAGGGACGGCGAGGTCCCGCTCAGATCTCCGCGGTGCTTCACTCCACAGGACCCACCAGCAGCCCTCGAAAGTGGCGACAATGTCGCACATCGCAACCCCCAGGGGCGGCGAGGTCCCGCTCAGATCCCAGCGGTGCCTCACTCCGCAGGACCCACCAGTAGCCCTCGAAAATGGCGACAATGTCGCAGATCGCAGCCCCCCAGGGGCGGCGAGGTCCCGCTCAGATCCCCCTGGTGCCTCACTCCGCAGGGCCCGCCAGCAGCCCTCGAAAGTGGCGACAATGTCGCAGATCGCAGCCCCCCAAGGACGGCGAAGTCCCGCTCAGATCCCCGTGGTGCCTCACTCCGCGGGACCCACCAGCAGCCCTCGAAAATGGCGGCCATGTCGCAGATCGCAGCCCCCCAGGGACGGCGAGGCCCGCTCAGATCCCCGCGGTGCCTCACTCCGCAGGATGCACCAGCAGCCCTCGAACGTGGCGACGGTGTCGCAGATCGCAGCCCCCCAGGGACGGCGAGGCCCGCTCAGATCCCCGTGGTGCCTCACTCCGCAGGACCCACCAGCAGCCCTCGAAAGTGGCGACAGTGTCGCAGATCGCAGCCCCCCAGCGACGGCGACGAGAGGACAGGAGGCGAGAGGAGGCGGGAGGCGGGAGGAGGAAGAGGAGGAGGAGGAGGAGGAGGAGGAGGAGGAGGAGGAGGAGGAGGAGGAGGAGGAGGAGGAGGAGGAGGAGGAGGAGGAGGGACGCGACCCCAGTGCTCTATTCAAACCAAATGCCCAACCAAGAAGGGTTGGGAAACGATTGAGTTCCCATGAATTTTTGAAGGATTCGGGCATTTTCTTTTTTTCTACCTTCCGACCCACCGATCGCCCACGAGGCCCACGACGGCCCCTAGAGGCCCCCAAGAGGGCCCAAGACCAAGACGCTCAATCTGGCCTCCAAGACGGCCCAAGAGCCCTCCAAGACATCCTCAGGGACAACATGGCCTCCAAGCGGCCAATCTGACTTTCAAGATGCCCACGTGTTCCCCGAAGGCTCTCCAAACCGATTCGGGGAACACATGGTCCGATAGCTTGGCAGGTCTGGCCTCAAAGTTCAGCCATCTAGGCGCTTCCAAAAAGGCAGGTGATTCGCCGTAGGCGTCTTAGATCCGCCGCCCCCTGTTGCTTGCAAGAGGGGTGCCTGGCGTGCTGGATCCTATCGGTTTTGGCTCTTTTTCCAAAATTACCTTACCCTCGGGCTTAGGCCCGTTCCGCGTAAACCACCTCAGCATCCCCACACAATCCTCCAAGACGGCTCAAGATGGCCTCCAAGATGGCCATGTTGGCCCACGATGGCCTCTAAGATGGTCCAAGATGGCCTCCAAGTTCGCCCAAGATGGCCCACGGCGGCCCAAGAGGCCTCCAAAAGGGCCTCCAGGAAGGCCCGAAAAGGCAACAATAATTGATTTCCCATGAGTTTTTGAAGGGTTGTAGCATTTGTTTTTTTTCGGCCTTCCGACGGCCCGAGACGGCCCAAATGCCCCCCCAAGATCGCCCAAGAGGCCTCCAAGACGGCCCCAAGAGGCCTCCAAGACGGCCCAAGAGGCCTCCAAGACGCTCAAGATGGCCTCCAAGACGGCCCAAGAGCCCTCCAAGACGTCCCCTAAGAAGGCCCGAAACGGTCAAAATGGCCTCCAGGCGGCCAAGATGACTTTCAAGATGCCCACGTGTTCCCCGAAGGCTCTCCAAACCGATTCGGGGAACACATGGTCCGATAGCTTGGCAGGTCTGGCCTCAAAGTTCAGCCATCTAGGCGCTTCCAAAAAGGCAGGTGATTCGCCGTAGGCGTCTTAGATCCGCCGCCCCCTGTTGCTTGCAAGAGGGGTGCCTGGCGTGCTGGATCCTATCGGTTTTGGCTCTTTTTCCAAAATTACCTTACCCTCGGGCTTAGGCCCGTTCCGCGTAAACCACCTCAGCATCCCCACACAATCCTCCAAGACGGCTCAAGATGGCCTCCAAGATGGCCATGTTGGCCCACGATGGCCTCTAAGATGGTCCAAGATGGCCTCCAAGTTCGCCCAAGATGGTCCAAGACGGCCCAAGAGAGTCCAAGACTGCCCAAGAGGCTCCCCAGAGGCTTCCAAGACGGCCCAAGAGGCCTCCAAGAGGTCCTCCAAGGGGTCAAAAGCATTGATTCCCCATAGGTTTTTGATGGATTTTGGCATTCGCTTCTTCTCTGCTTTCCGACGACCCAAGGCGGCCCAAGAGGTCCCCAATATCGCCCCCACAGCGCCCACGGGGCCTCCAAGATGGCCTCAGGACTGCCCTAGAGGCCCCCAAGACGGCCCCAAGAGGCCCCCAAGACGGCCCAGGAGGCCTTTTAAGACGCCCAAGATGGCCTCCAAGACGGCCCTGGAGCATTCCAAGAGGGCCCCAAGTCGGCTCAGAGAGGCCCTGAAACGGCTTTCGACGGCGTCGAACGAGCCAGGGGCCCACCAAGATGGCCGAAGATGGCCCTAAGATGGCCCAAGGCGGCCCAAGAGGCCTCCAAAAGGGCCTCCAGGAAGGCCCGAAAAGGCAACAATAATTGATTTCCCATGAGTTTTTGAAGGGTTGTAGCATTTGTTTTTTTTCGGCCTTCCGACGGCCCGAGACGGCCCAAATGCCCCCCCAAGATCGCCCAAGAGGCCTCCAAGACGGCCCCAAGAGGCCTCCAAGACGGCCCAAGAGGCCTCCAAGACGCTCAAGATGGCCTCCAAGACGGCCCAAGAGCCCTCCAAGACGTCCCCTAAGAAGGCCCGAAACGGTCAAAATGGCCTCCAGGCGGCCAAGATGACTTTCAAGATGCCCACGTGTTCCCCGAAGGCTTTCCAAACCGATTCGGGGAACACATGGTCCGATAACTTGGCAGGTCTGGCCTCAACGTTCGGCCGCATAGGCGCTTCCAAAACGGCAGGGGGCGGCGGTGATTCGCCGTAGGCGTCTTCGATCCGCCGACCCACAGCCCAAGCACGGTGGCGGGATGGGCCGAAGGCCATTATCCGCCACCCCCTGTCGATTCATCGCAGGGGTGCCTGGCGTGCTAGACCCTTTCGGTTTTGGTTTTGGTTCTTTTTCCCAAAGAACTCCCCCTGCGGCTTCGGCCCGTCCCGCCAGCCACCCGTAAAGATCTTCCAGATTGCCCAGAGGTGGTTGCCAAGGATTTTTCCTGCTCCGGACGGCTCCAAGATGGCCCAAGATAGCCTCCAAGACGCCTCCAAGACGGCCAACATGGCCTCCAAGACGGCTCAGATGGCCAGCGGTTCGGCAGTCCCTCACAAGTCCACGCGGCAGACAGGCCAGTCCTATGGCAACCGCTCTGGCTATGGAGCGGCGGCGTGGGCAATTCATCAGTGTGGCGGCGAAAAGCTCCCCGACCAGGCAGACGATTCAGCTCCTCCTCTTCCTCCGGGACTGCCACCCGGGCCTCGCCCAGTGGAAGAGGCAGCGCGGGGGGTGCGGCCGCCGTTCCGGCCGCGCCCCCCACGGAGGCGCGGCCGGCCGCCGCCGCTCAGGCCATGCCGTACGAGGGCACCGCGGGGGGCAGCACGCCACCGTGCCGCCGGGACGCACCGCCTTGAGCCGCCAGGGCGCCGGCGGCGAGGCGGGGCGAGGGGCCCCCGGCGCCGCCGCAGCCGCCGCGATCGGTGCCGTGGCTGCGGGCCCTCGGCGTGACGGCGCTGGGCCGGCCGCCGCGGGGGGCCGAGTCCGGCCGGTGGGGCCGCTGCGGCTCGCCGCGGTGCGGCTCGCCGCGGTGCGGCTCGCCGCGGCGGGCCCGCTCCGCGGGCGCCTTGGCGCCGTCCGCGCAGGGCGCCTCCCGCCCCGCGACGGGCCTCCGCGGTGGGGCCCCGCGTGCAGGCTGCGCGCCTGCCGCGGTGCCTCCGGTGGCGTTGGGCTGGCAGCCCGGGCCCACGCGCCCAGACCTGGCGCCGTCCCCAGCGCCTCGCGGAGCGGGGGCACGCCGGTCCACTTCGGGCTCCTCGGGGATGCTGTCGTTCGGGCTGGCCGTAGACTGGCGCCTGCCGGCGGGCCGGCTGGAGGACAGGTGCGCGTTGAGCTCCTGCAGGAGGCTGCTCTGGCTTTCGATGATCTGGCGCTGGTCGGAGAGGGCGGCCTCCTGGGCCGCCACGATCTCGTGCAACTCCTGGACCTCCCGCTCGGAGGCCCCGGCCTCTAGCTCTTCTATCCGCGCGCGCTGCTGCGCGACCAGCAGCTCTAGCTGCTCGATGCGGACGTCTCGCTCCTGGAGTTCCACCCCCGTCTCGGGCAGCTCGCTGGGCGGCCCCATGCGGCGGCCACACGGGGGGAGGGGCCGCGGCAGGCGAACTGACGCCCGGGCGCCGAGCCCTTGAGCCAAAATGGCTACGGAGACGGCTCAGATGGCCCCAAGATGCCTCCAAGATGACTCAAGATGCCTCCAAGACGGCCTAAGATAGCCTCAAGCTGGTTCAAGACGGCCCAGGAGGCCCCGAAGAGCCCCCCAAGACGCCTCCAAGAGGTCCTCAAGGAGAGCCCGAGGAGGCCACAATCATTGGTTTTCCGTAGGTTTTTGAAGGATTTTGGCCTTTGCTTTTTTTCGGCCTTCCAAAGACCTCTCAAGACGGCCCAAGAGGCCCCCAAGATCGTCCCAAAATCGCTCCCGAAGCCTCTAAGATGGCCCCATGAGGGCCCAAGAAGCCCCCAGGAAGGCCCCAAGAGGGCCTCAAGACGGCCCAAGAGGCCTCCAAGACGCCCAAGATGGCCTCCAATACCGACCCGAAGCGCCCCAAGAGGGCCCCAAATCGTTTCAGAGAGGCGGCTCCCGACGGCGTCAGACGGGCCAGGAACGCCGCACGACGGCCAAAGAAGCCCCCGAGAAGCCCCCAAAGGGCCCCAAGAGGCCCCCAATATGCCCCAAGAGAGCCCAAGATAGCCCCAACATGGTCTCCAAGACGGTCCCAAGATGGCCCAATCGAGCCCAAGAGTGCCTCAAGAGGCTCCGAAGAGGCATCCTCACCCTTCCTCCCCCCCGCGTTCCCCGAAACCTTTCCAAACCGACTCGGGGAACACATGGTCCGATAGCTTGGCTAAGCTCTAGTCCAGCTGTCGGACGCATAGGCGCTTCCACAAAGGCAGGGGAGGGCGGTGATTCGCCGTAGGCGTCTTCGATACATCTCTCTCTATATATATATATGTATGTATATATAAAAAATACGAACACCTCTCTCTCACACATATCTATGAATACATGGTGAATGCTTTTTCTTATTCGACGTTTCGACATTGGGCGGAAGGGGGGCGGAGAGGGGGGGTCTGGCTCCAGACCTCTGCTTAATGCGACTGTTTGCAGAAGTGCGTCCCACGGGGAGACTTCACCTGCGTGAAACAGGCGCCCCGAACAGCCAATATCTACTCCAGGGGGGGGGGAAGAGGGAGGGGTGCGGGGGCTCGCGCCGATCGGCAAAACAACGAATAAGAAAACGATCGCACGAGGAGGCAGGATGGCCTCGCTGCTTCTGGGCGGCTGCTGGGCCAGTGGCCCGTGGCAGATGCCGTCACCACACCATGCCGTCAGTGGCTCCACTGGGCCATCCTTCGAAGCGCACCTCCCTCGGCCCCTCCACGTTCTCCTCTCCGCTCCCGCCCCCTCCCCCTCCTCGCCAGCGCGCCGCCGCCTCCGCCCGCGCCCCGCCTCGCCAGCGCTCGGCCCGCTCGGCTCTCCGTGGATCTATCTCTGGCTCTCCGGAAGCCCGCTGGGCGCGTCCTGGGGCCCACATGGGTGCCTACGGCCGGGCCTCTTTGCAGAGCGTGTCGCGGCGGCGGCCCCGGCGACACACTGTCCTGCGAGCGGATAGCGTGTCGCTCCGCTTCGCTGGGTGTGAGGCTCGGAGAGACTCGGTACGTGGACGCCTGCGGACCAAGAAAGGGATGGCGCGTCGCGCCGAAACGAAGGCCAGAACTGGCGGCGCGACACGGCGTCCAAAAGTTCGCGACCGTATTCGGTTTTCCAGACCGCGGGGGGAGCTCGACGGACAGCCGGAGCTCCTGGCCGGCGGCGGCTCCGAGACGCCCCCCCCGCCCCCGCGCGGCCCCGCGCTGGCGCGGCCCGCGCCAGTGCCGCCAAAGGGCGGCCCGCCCCTTGCACGGTCTTCGCGGCCCCAGCCGATTGCGTTAGGTCGGGCATGTCCCCCTACAGGTCGGATTTTTGGGGAAAAGTGAACCTGATGTTGTCACGAACCCCGACCTCGGAGGACAAGTGGGCGTGACTTGCGAGGAAGGGAAAAACAAAGCAGAGGATGCCTGTAGGGCGCATCTTGCTGATTCCCGTCTTGTCCGTTTGACGCTGTGCCGCATTCAGGCGCATGATGTTGGTTCCCGTGCTGTCCGTTTGATGCTGTACTACTTTGTTGGGGCGTTTCCGACCATCTTGGAGCCGTGTTGGGCAGTCTTCGGGCCCTGGGGCGTCTCCGACCATCTCGGGGCCCTCTTAGGCCAGTCTTGGGGCCCTCTTGGGGGCCTCTGGGGGCTTCCTGGAAACTTCTTGGAGGCTTCTTGAGGCCTCTTGGGGCCTCTTGGGGCCTCTTGGGACCTCCTGGGGATTCTTTGGGCGGGGAGCCCGAAATGTCGGTCCCTGCCCCCCCTTCTGGGGCCGTTCCTGAAGCGTTCCTGGGGCCGTCTTAGGCCGTCTTGGGGGCGTCTTAGGCTGTCTTGGGGGCGTCTTCGACCGTCTGGGCGCCCTCCTGGGAGACTATGTGGGGTCTCTCGGGCCGCCTTTGAGCGTTATGAAGCGGGAAAGCCGAAAACACAGAAGAACTGAAAGAGCTGAAAGACATCAATGAGTTTGGACTCTTGGGGGTCTCTTGGGAGACCTCTTGGAGGACAAGTGGGCGTGACTTTCGAGCAAGAGAACAGCAAAGAAGAGGATGCCCATAGAGCGCGTGACGTTGATTCCCGTGTTGTCAGCTTGGGGCTGTGACGCTTCGTCGGGGCGTCACCAGCCATGGTGGGGCTCTCTCGGGGGGTCTTGGGGCCGTCTTGGAGGCTTCTGGGGGGTTCCTGGACGCCTCTTCGAAGCTTTTCGGGGCCTCTTAGAGGCCTCTTGGGGGCCTCCTGGGGCCTCCTGGGGGTCTCTTCGGGCGGGGAGCCCGAAATGTCGATCCCTGCCTCCTCTCTGGGGGCTCTCTTGGAGCGTTCCTGGGGCATTCTGAGCCCGTGTCTTGAGGGCGTCTTGGACCGCCCCGGCCTCTTAGGCCGTCTTTGGGGGGATCTTTGGGGTATTTTGAGTCGTCTTCGAGCGTCGGGAAGCCGAACAAGCGAGAACGCGAAAAACCGTCAAAACCCAAAGGAAAACCGATGAATTTTGACTCTTGGCCTCCCAGACCGTCTTCGGGGCTCCTTGGGCCGTCTAGACCGCTCGGTCGGCGGCACGTGGCACTCTTGGACCATCTTGCGGATCATCTTGGGGCCGCCCGTGCCGCCCGAAAGCGCGTCCGCCGAAGTGGGGCCATTTTCCGCCGTCTTCCGCTGGACTTCTGCCGGCGTTCGTCGCGTGGCCGGGGCCATGTCCCGGGGGTTCCCCCGCCAGACCTCCCCAGTGGAACACTAAACGGGAGCCCCTCCGCAAGGTCGGGGAAAAATAGGCAAAAAAAAATCAAAAATGATCATATAAATAATCGAACAATCGTCCCCTGACAATTTTTTAAAAGAATTTTGAATATTCCTCCTGCAGAGGGACACGCCCGACTTAACGATTGCGGCCCCTCACTGCTCGTCCCTCTCCAGGAGCTTGGAGCGCTCTACGTCGGCCCACCCCAGCGATCTGGGCGCGGGCGTGGCCTCCGTGGCGCTCTGGTAAAAACTCTTCACTCTGCTGCAGATGTAGATCACGTCCTGGCGCTCCAGGAACGAGTGCGTGGGCAGGTAGAAGCCCACCTGCGCCAACGCCTCTGCGACGGGTAAGACAATGTCGTAGACTCCCACGTCGTTCCCGTAGAAATTCACAGGCTCGAGGTGCAGGGGATAAAAATAGTTCCTCGTCTCGATCCCATGCAATGCCAAATGGTCGCGCAACGCGTCCCGAGTTTTTCTGTCCCGGGTCTCCACCCCGAAGACCCACGGGGAATCGTTCTGCCTCTGCTCCATGCACCTGAGCTCGGGGACGTCGGATAATTGTTCGCGGTACCATGCTGCGAGGTGTCCCCTGTGCTGCATAATGCCAGGCAGCTCCTTCACCTGCGAGCACACGAAGGCTGCGCCGAGTCCGTTCATCTTCGCGTTTGGGGCCGTCTCGAAGTGAAGGAAATGGTACGCGGGATCGAACCCGTGGTTGATCAACGACTTGAGGCGATCGTGGTGCTTCTTCTCCCGAGCGTGCACCCAGCCGCCGTCGCCAGCCGTGATCTGCTTGTTGGCGTAGAGGGAGGACACGGCGAAATCGCCGAACGTGCCCACGAGCTTTCCGTTGTCAGCTCTGGTGCCCATTGCCTCACAGATATCCTCCACGAGCCACCAGCCGCGGTCCCGGCACAGCTCCGCGATCGCCTCTATGTCCCTGCACGCCACCCCGTACGTGTGGCACACGATCACCGCCTTCGTCCGCGGGGTGGCCCGCTTGAGTATCTCCTCCGTGCCTGGGTTGAGGGAGCCGGGCGCGTTGTCGCAGTACAAGGGCCTGGAACCGACCATCTTGACCATGTTCGCGACGGCGACCATGGTGAGCGCCGGGACCAGGACGTGGTCCTGCGGCCCGAGGTCGCACGCCAGCAGCGCCACGTGCAAGGCGGACGCGCCCGAGGACGTGGGCAGCGCCACCGGCACGCCGTAGAGCTGGCAAATCTGCTCCGCGAATCGCCGCGGCCAGGCGGCGCCGGAGGAGATCTGCCCTCCGAGCATGGCCTGCATCACGTTGTCGACGCACTCCCGCGAATACCACGGCTCGAGCACCCGGTAGAGCCAGCCCGCCTCGCCAGGCTTCGGCTCCGGCGAGGGCATGGACTCCTTGATGCGAGGCGGCAGGATGGCGACCCTGTCCTGCGGGTCCTGCACGATGGACCCAATGTACAGCGACGGGTTCCACATCCTCCCCACCGTCGTCGCCTCTTGGTGGTCCCCAAACGTGGTGGTGAGAACACCCGGTGGTGAGTTTTGGACGATTTGGGTAATGGTTTTCGAGCGCTGGCTGGCCCAGGAAACGCAAAAGCTCGTGGCGACCGCGTGTCCCCAAACCCGGTGGTGACCCAGAATTACTGTTTCGGGGAATCGGGGTCACCACCGGGTGTCTCACCACCTGGTTTGGAGACCACCAAGCCTCCTGCATCGTGGAGGCGCCCTCCTGCACCGGGGAGTCGGCGCCCTGCGGCTGCCGCGCCATGAGCCTCCCCCTCGTGTCGCGCGGCGCGAACGGCACCGGCGCGGCGCCACGGAGCGGCGGTGGCCGCGAGCCTCCGGCGAGTCGCCGCGAGGGCTTGGGCCAAAACTGCTGCGGAGAGGCCTAGGGGGGTTTCTGAAGAGGCCCAGGGGCAGACAAATGAGTAGGCACAATTCCCAGGATTTTCCATCAGTTTTCCTATTTTCTGGGTTTTCGTCCTCCCACCGTGGGAATCTACGATTATTTGTGTCTTTGTGTGTGTGTGTGTGTGTGTGTGCTTTTCCCTCCTGAGCTTCTTGGGGCCCCCTTCCTGCGACTCCCTCAACGACTGGGCCACGGTTTGGAGTGCTTTGGGGGCCGCCTTTGGGTCCTCTTGGGCCGTCATGGGGGTATCGTCGGGCCGTCTTAGGGCTCTCTTGGACTTTCTGGATGCACTTTTGGTACGTTTCGATGCGATTTTATGAGCCTCTTGGGCAATCTGGGAAGGCTGGAAGGCCAGAAGACCGAAGAACCGACCCATAACCACAGAAAGACTGGCAACAACACAATATTCAGTGCGTTTGGAGGGCCTCTTTGGTGTCTTCTTTGGGTTGTCTTCAGGCGTTTTGTTGGTGTATGGGGCCGCTTTGGGCTCTCGCGGGGCAATCTGGTCGCCCTTCTGACCGCTCTGGACCAATTGCCGAAACTTGGTAGGAACGTCCAGGAGGACCAGAAGGTCGAGTTGACGTACTGCACTGGCGTCCGGGAGGTCTGGGGAGGCCGAAATTCGTTTTGGGGTGGGCACCTGTGTGGGGTTCCCCGCTGCGCGCAAAACTGTTAAAGAGAGTTGGCAACGATAGCGATCACAACGATAGCGATAACAATATCGTTATCGTTGATTTCGGAAGCCCTGAACTCAAACATGTGCTTGGAATCTCTCTCTTGCTGTCTTCCGCTGGCCCCCGCCGACCTTCCGCCTGCGCGATCGCCGCCGGTTTGCTTCCGCCGAGGGCCAGACGCGCTCAAGGCGATGCCTTTTCTGGAACGCGCCCCTTTATATGTATATGGCGGGTTCTACAAACCTTGAACCCCAAAATGTTGGTCATTTCTGGGAAGTCGACTTTTGCTTCCGCCGTCCTTCCGCCAACTTCTGCCGGCAGATGCCGCCTCGTTTTACTTCCGCCGCCTTGCGCCGACCTTCCGCCGCGGAAGAGATGGCAACTCCTTCGATCCTCGAAGGCAAGATCCTGTTTGGAACGCTCAATACGCATGTGTATCCACAGTGTGGAAGCTATATGAACATAAGCACGCGCCATCCGCGCGCGGGAAGGGATTCTCGACGCTGACGTGGGCGGAAGGCCGACCGCGGGGCACGAGACATTCCGGCCTCCTGCGAGCTCCCTGAGCCTGGCCGAGACTAGCGCGGTCCGATTCAACGCGCCTGCCCCGTCTTCCAGAACGCGATGTGGCTCGGCCCAGACTTATGCCGAACCAAAAACATGCACGCGCATGCACGCGCATGCATACGCGCGTGGGCACATGCTCCGAACGTGGCGGACACGATGCGGCCAACTCGCTGCTGGGCCGCGCTGCAAAGGCGCTTGGTGTTACCCTCTCGGCTCAGAGGAGCGGGATCCGTGAATACGGACAGAGATCATGTTCCCTGGCATGCCAGCGTGGTTGTAGAAATCGTGACCAAGGGCACTCAGACTGGTAATGCGATTGCGAACGATGTCCATAGCTATCTGGGTTGCGTTACCGCACAGGTCCGCCACCGCCGCCTTCTTGTTGCCTTTTGCGTGGCTGCTCCTTCCCCAAACAGTGATTGCGCTTGGGGGTTCTTACTTCTGTACTATGGAATTGAGCCTGTCTGTCGGTCTGGCGACTATGTCGCCGCCGTCGCCGCCGCCGTCGCCGCCCCGTCGCCGCCTCATCGCCGCCCCTCGTCTGGGCCTGTCTGCCGCTCTGGCGGCTATGTAGTCGTCGTCGCCGCCCCGTCGCCGACTCGTGGCAACGAAGTGCGTCTCTTGGGCCGGCTGCTCCAGCCGCATCGGCGACTGCCGACTTCCCAAGCTGAGCGCACAACAACAAATCATGTCATTCGCCCCACGCGTCAATGAGTCGTTCACGCCTGGCGTGTGCCTGCAAGCCCATCCAGACAGCGTCCCTGCGGGATTGCCCTCGAAGAGATAGCTTGCACCACGTACAATTACCACTATTATTCGTATAGCATTAGCATGGCGTAGAATTAGCGTAGCACGGCAAATGAAACATACTATAGCTTAGCGTGCCATTGGCATATCATAGCATTGACAAACATTGGTATAGCGTAACATAGCATAGCCTCAGCACGTGCGCGAATCGTGCCTTGATTGCTCTGCATTGTTTTGCATTGCTTTGCGCCGCTTCGCATTGCTTTCCATTGCTTGCATCGCTTTGCGTGGCTTCGCATTGCGTTGGAATGTTTGTGCATTGGTGTCTTTGCATTGCACCAGATTAATTGTATCTCTTCGTATGCTCGAAACCACTGTTTGGGGCCCACGATGGCTAACTTCGCTGGGATTATTGTCTATGAGGCGTGCGCGCCACAGCTCGCAAGGCCCTCGGAGGGACCAGGAGGCGCAGGCCACGTCGCAGCGGACGGCGCAGGGCAGGCGTATGGCAGCTGCCTCCGTGACCCGGCTCCCGCACAGGCGCCGCCGCTCGCCCAGCGCCCTCCCCCGCGCGCTCGAGCCCCGCGCGCACGCCGCGCACGCCGCTCGCTCAACGGGCGCTCTGAATGGTGCCGAGGCCTGCCCGATATGCGCTGAGGCGTGCGTGCGTTCGCCCAGCGCACCCCCGCGCGCTCGAGCCCCGCGCGCACGCCGCGGACGCCGCTCGCTCAACGGGCGCCCTGAATGCGCCGCCCCCGTCCGCCGCCCTCCGCCGGGCCGCCTGGCGCCCGTCTCGTTCGCCCTCGCCCTCGCCCCCGACGCAGGAGCTCGCAGAGGAGGAGCCGGCAGGGCGGCGGGCCGGCTGCTGCGCCGCACGCGGAGCGTGACCACCCCTGGTGTGGGGGGGGGGGTGTCCTCCTGGCACCGCGGTGACCCCGCGCTGGGGCGCGGGGCAACGCCACGCCTGGTGCCTGCCGTCGCTCGGGCGTCCATTCCCCGTGCAGTTTTTTCGGCCTCGTGCGTGTCTTGTTTGGCTCGGTGACCCAGGATCTTCCCCGAGGGCCCTCGCCGAGGAGACGTGCGCACGCCCGAGCGATGCCAAGGGTGTGTGTGTGTGTGTGTGTTTGTGTGTGTGTGTGTGTGTGTGTGTGTCCGTGTCTGTGTGTGTGTGTGTGTGTGTCTGTGTCTGTGTCTGTGTGTGTGTGTTTGTGTGTGTGTGTGTGTCTGTGTGTGTGTGTGTGTGTGTGTGTGTCTGTGTCTGTGTGTGTGTGTGTGTGTCCGTGTCTGTGTGTGTGTGTGTCTGTGTCTGTGTCTGTGTGTGTGTTTGTGTGTGTGTGTGTGTGTGTGTGTGTGTCCGTGTCTGTGTGTGTGTGTCTGTGTCTGTGTCTGTGTGTGTGTGTGTGTGTGTGTGTGTGTGTGTGTGTGTGTGTGTGTGTGTGTGTGTTGTGTGTGTGTGTGTGTGTGTCTGTGTCTGTGTCTGTGTGTGTGTGTGTGTGTGTGTGTGTGTGTGTGTGTGTGTGTCTGTGTCTGTGTGTGTGTGTGTTTGTGTGTGTGTGTGTGTCCGTGTCTGTGTGTGTGTGTGTGTGTGTGTGTGTGTGTGTCTGTGTCTGTGTCTGTGTGTGTGTGTGTGTGTGTGTGTGTGTCTGTGTGTGTGTGTGTGTGTGTCTGTGTGTGTGTGTGTGTGTGTGTGTGTGTGTGTGTGTGTGTGTGTGTGTGTGTGTGTCTGTGTGTGTGTGTGTGTGTGTGTGTGTGTGTGTGTGTGTGTGTGTGTGTGTGTGTGTGTGTGTGTGTGTGTGTGTGTGTGTGTGTGTGTGTGTGGGGGGGAGGGCCCGCCGGCCTCGCTTGCCCGAGGCTCTTCTTGCTCCTCCTGGCCCTCCGGGGCGGGGGTGCGGCGGACGACGCGTCGGCGCCCTCACAGCGCCCCGGGCGGAGCCATGGGGGCCAGCTGCCGGCCGACGAGGCGCCCGCGGCTTCGGTTCCCCCCGCAGCGAGAGGCAAACCTCCCTCCTCCTCCTCCTCCTCCTCCTCCTCCTCCTCCTCCTCTTCCTCCCCCTCTTCCTCCATTTCCTCCTCCTCCTCCTCCTCCTGGTTTTCCTCCTCCTCCTGCTCGTATTCCTCCCCCGTGGCGTGCTGGCAGTCCCCGGCGAGGACTGCCTCGTCCCTCTCTCTGCTCGCCCCCTCTGCCCTGCTCGGGGGAGGCGGGGTCGGCCGCACCAGGGGCCTGATATCAGAGTGCGGGCCGCCCAAGAGGGCTGGCAAAGAGAACCTTGCCCCCCTCGAGGCGGAGCGCGATCCGGGCACCACTGCGCAAGCCGATCGGCCAGCGGGTCAGGAAGCGCGGTGCGTTAAACATAGGTCGGGAATGAAGGAAAAGGGTCCTGAGGGAAACGGGTCCTGGACCCAAGGGGCTTTCCCCAATAACGATGTCTTCCATACTAATTCTATGCTGCGGAAGGTAACACTCCGGCGAAGGGCCACTCGATTGCCGGGCCATAGCTCGGGTCTCTGGCGGCCGCTCGGTACGATGCGGGCACTCTTGGAACACCTCTCGGCGAGGCGCAACTGCTTGAATGTATCCTGAGGCAAGATCACCTCCGTCAGCCGACGAACATGTCCGACAACACTGACCAGAAAGGTCACGGGCTCTCTCGCCACCCGCCCGATCCATGATCCACGGAGCTCCTGCTAAAACCAAGTGATGGCACCTGGTGCCACCACGCCGCCTCCTCAAGGTCACTCTTCTGCGTAGCCGATCCTTCTCCTCTGAGGAGGGCCGAAAAAGGGGACTGGCTAAGCGGGGGAAGCAATGACCTGGACTCGACGATACATCCCCGATAGGCCAGCGATGGGCTCACGATTGGGAAGCCCCCCATTCCTGGGCAGGTCGGGGCACGTAGGCCCGATCGGCGATGACTGGGTGATGGGGTGTTGATGCTCCCCCCCTGGGCCAACCCCCCCTGCCATTGCCCCTGATCCCGGGGAGGAGGGGGGAGGAGGGAGGAGGAGAGGAGGAGAGGTTAGGAGGAGGAGGAGCGGTTGAGGAGGGAGGAATGGGATGGGGAGGGGGAGCGTTCTGGAAAAACGACAACCCTGTGACTGCACTGGGTCACTCTTTTGCGTGGCCGATCCTCCTCCTCCTCCTCCTGCCCCACTCCCTGCGGGTCCGGCGAGTCTGGGCCCTCGGAGCGGCACGCGACGCCAGTGCCCCTGCCGACGGGGACGAAGCCGTCGACTGGGCTCGCCGACGCCAATGCGGCACCTGCCCCCCCGCCCTGCTCGCCAGGGGGGCTCGAGGACCGACCGAGGCCTGGCGATCCTGGAGGCCTCGCGCGGCAGCTCGAGGCCCGATCTACAATCGTACGTCGGACCATCGCTGCGCGAGCGTCCGGGCGAGGCCTCCAAGATTTACTCATGGCAAAACGAAAACAATCTGACACGGCTCTGTGAGATGTACCGTTCGCCGCGGCCATTCCAAAGCGCTCTGGAGCGCTCTGAGATCGTTTCCGGACGGTCTCGAGCGATTTATTCTCATCTTAGGCGGAGGAACAAACATCTCAGCCAGCGCTGACTCCAAATCAAACATTTACTCTGCCCTACTCTACTCTACTCCACGCTACTCTACCCTACTCTACTTCAAGGCTACCATATCTGAATCCATTCTGCTCATCTCTACTCTGCGCCTACTATACTCCGCTCTACTTCTAGGCTGGACCGCCCCCAAGATCTACCCCGTGAGCCTTTTTTGCGATTCCTCGTGGTCGTCGTCGTCGTTGTCGTCCTCGTCGTCCTCGTCGTCGTCGCCCTCCTTCTTGGTCTACTCGTCCTTTTCCTCCGTCACCCGCAATGCCTTTCCTCTCATGCGTCACGATTCGTCCTCCGAGAGCTATCCCTTCGTCAGTCCCCTTCTCCTGTAGAGGATCTACTCAAGGATTCCTTCTGTGGGGGGTGCGACATAATCAATTTTGTGGGCGGAGTACACCTGGATTCCTTATGCTGGCAGTGAAGAACCAACAAAACACAAGGAGCAACAAACAACACCAAAGAAACCTAAGATCGACGGCTGAAAAACCAAGCAAACACAATAAACATCCAACACAATCCAAAACACCACATATTTCAATACTTACTCTGTGGGGGGGGGCGGTTGGGGTGGACAAAGTACTGACATCATTTTTTGTTGTTGTTTTGTTGTTGTTTTTGGTTTTTCATTGCTTTTTTGGTTGTTCAGCCGTCGATCTTTTTTGGGGGGGGTGGGGTCGCTTGCCCTATCCCCACGGAAGCGGACGGCGGGAGGGGAGGGGGCAGGAGGAGGCGGGAGGCGATGCCTGGTGTCTTTGGGGGTCTTCGACCCCGGGGGTTGGGATGCAGCGGCGTGCGGCAGGGTCGGGAGGAGGCGGGAGGCGGACGAGGTGGCGGGGGCGGGGCGGCGGCGGAGGGCAGGAGGGACGGGAGGGGGGGGGAGAAGAAGGGCGAGGAGGAGGGGGACAGGGCAGGGAAGCCTGGGAGGGAAGCCTCGGGAGGGGACTCCGGGAGGGACGCCAGGAGGGGACCCGGGAGGGAAGCCCGGAGGAGCCAGGAGGGAGGCCAGGAGAGGAGCCAGGAGGGGACCCAGGAAGGCACGCGGGAGAGCAAGCTGGGCCAATCGCAGCGCAACGACGACGCCATCATTGCTAAACGCTTTCGCGGTGCCATTCCCGAGGGCATCGCAAAAAGCGATGCCCACTCCGTTGCAAACACGAACGACCCCAACACCCCAACACATCCCAGCCATTCCAAGGAAACGACTTCCCAATTTCTCATCCCAGAAATCCCCAAACATCCAGATGACAACACAGGGTTACGCACCCCTGACATCTCAAACCTCGTGTTTACACATGTATTGTGTTCGGCGTCTGGGAGAGCGAGAGAGAGAGAGAGGGAGAGAGAGAGAGAGAGACATAAAGAGAAATAGAGAGATAACTAGAGAGCGATAAACAAAGAGAGAGAGAGATAGAGAGAGAGAGAGAGATATAGACACACATATACATATATATACATATATATATAGAGGGAGAGAAAAGGAGAGAGAGAGAGAGAGAAAGAGGGATATATATAGAGAGAGAGAGAGAGATACATAGAGGCAGAGCATGTTCCAGATCCAGCTGATCACAAGCATACTCCTATTCTCATGCAGTTGAAATTTAATTCGGGCGGGGCGGATCACAGGTTCGAACCTAATTGAACCTAGCTAGAATTGAGCAGATCACAGATCCAGCTGATTCAGATTGGATTCCTGCGGGGGTGAATCTGATTGAAATGGCGCGGATCCCAGATCCTGCTGACTCCAAGTATATTCAGATTGTAATCACATTCGGATCAGAATAAAGTTGAGCAGAGCCCAGATCTAGCCGATTCCAATTGGATTCCTATCGTTTTCGGGTTAACATCGGGTTGTAATCGGGCAGATCCCATATCCCAGGCCTCAGGCCCAGCTGATTCTAGTTGTATTCATATTCGGACCTGAATAAGATAGTGCATACCCCAGATCCAACTGCTTCTACTTTGGTTCCTATTGGGACTTACTTTAACTCTATCCAGACTTGGGCACACGCACGACCCAGTTGAGTCCAATTGGGATTCCCAGTGGAGTCTAAATGGAATCTAATTGGAGTTGAGGAGAACACAGATCCAGCTGGTTCCAATACGATTCCTAGTGAAGCCTACTCACACTCTCAGTGGAAGTGAGCGGGTCTCACATCCAGCTGGTTCTGATTTGATTACTATTGGACTCGGGTTAGAATCTACTTGGGATGGGACAGATCCCAGATACAACTGTTTCCAAGGGTATTGATTCCTGTTGGAGCCGAATTCGCATCTGATCCGAATTGGGCAGATCCCAGTTCCAGCTGATTACAGTCGGACTTCTATTCACATCCAATTGACATCGAATGGGGATTGAGCAGATCCCAGGCCCAGCTAATTCCGATTAGATCCAGATTGAGGTTTCATTCGGCTATAACCGGTGTGGGACGGGTCCCAGACCCAGCTGACTCCAAGTTGGGATCGCATGGTAATATGCTTAATAGTGCCCAGATCCCAGATCCAGCTAATTCCACGAATATTCCAACACGAAATAACAACGAACGCATTACGAAAATGAGAGAGTTGCGGGCGCCACCGACGGGACAACGCAACAATAACACATACAACACACCAACAACACCGCCCGAGGTAGATCTCGGGACGGGGTCCAGGCTACTTCTACCCATACTCTATTCCTTCTCCACTTTGCTCTAATGTACTCTCCTCTGCTCTACTCTAGCAGACGCACCTGTGCGGAAAGCGAAGTGGGCTATGCGAATCTTTTGGACGACGCCATACGGATAGCAAAGGAAGCTATGCGGATGGTTTGGACTGCACTATGCGGATGGTAGAGGAAGCCAGGCCGATAGTTTGGCGAACCCTAACCTACTCTACTGTACTCTGCTCTGTTCTACTCTACTCTACTCTACTCTGCTCTACTCCTACTCCTACTCCTACTCCTACTCCTACTGTACTCTAGTATGCCCTCCTCTACTCTACTCCTGCTCAACTCTACCCGAACCTACTCTCCTCTATTCTACCATGACCTAGCAGACGAAGCCATGCGGATAGCCTTTACTCTACTCCACCATGCTCTACTCTTCTCTACTCCTACTCTACTCGACTCTACTCTACTCTACTCTACTCTACCCTTTTCTGCTCTACCACTGCCCGGCTCTACACCAATGTATTCTCCTTTATTCTACTCTAGCAAGCCGAACCATGCGGATAGCAGAGGCAACCGTGCGGATAGTTTGGCGAACCCTAACCTCGTCTACTCTACTCCTGCTCCTACTCTACTCTGCTGTGCTCCAGCTCTACTCTGCTCTAATGTGTTCTCCCCTACTCTACCCTAGCAGGCAAAGCCATGCGTGTAGCAGAGGACACCGTGCGGATACTTTTGACGAGGCCATGCAGATAGCAGAAGAAACCATGCGCACAGTTAGACCGAACAATGCAGGGGTAACACATGTTGGAAAGGGTATGTCTTCGTTCTCTACGCGTTCAAGTGGGACTCCTATAGGCAATCGGCAATATGGCGAGGAGCATGGGGGCAAAACACATGCGACCAACATATAGATCGTGCCAGGGACACAACCAGCAATATCACGACGATGGTCAGCAACACAGGCGTATAATGTGATTTGGTCATGCTTAGCAACACTATCCTCACAGGACGGTGCATCCGCAGAGGTTCATCACTTACGCACACGTGTGGTCAGCAAGCAGCGGGCTCCAAAGCAGGAGGGGGACGAGGATGAGGATGAGGAGGAGGAAGAGGAGGAGGAGGAGGACGAGCATGTAGAGCAGAAGTGGTGCAAGTGAATGCAAACCACTTTCAACGGGATGCCAGAAGGAGCAGGCAAGGAATCCTTCAGATTTCTTGGGCGATGCGAGGTGCCATACCCGCGAGACAGCTTTGGCCCGAACATGCCCTCCAATCTGCTCCCAGCCATGGCCGCGAGGGCCTTTTCCACAACCCCCCTAAACAGACAGGATCGCCAAGATCCCTCCCCTTCTGGAGGTCCAGCGTTGCCCTCTCGGGAACTGGAGCTTCCAGTCCTTGCTCGGGCCTGCGAGTAGGAGGCGGAGGAGGGCCAGAAGAAACCCAGGGTGCGTCATCGATGCTGCAACCCACTGTCACGTCCGAAATCCACTCTTAACCAAGCCCCCCCGGGCAACTCTTTTCACAATGGGAATCTTACTCTTGAAAGCCTGGCGCACCATGCGCCTGCAATCCAACCGAGATCTCCGTTTTGATAGGAGCTGCCATCCATCGCTGTAGCCGTAGGAAGCGCCAAGAGGTAAGATGATATAGTGAAAGGAAGCGTCCAGCGGACGCCCCCCCTTCGATAAGGATCTGGCCTCCATCCCTGTAGCCTGTTTCGCAGCTGTAAACCTCCGGCGGTGCAAACTGACGAAATCTCAAAGGGTAACCACATTTTGAGCAGGCGTCGCCCTCCATCCTTGCAACAAATGGACACGTTTAAGACGAACGCGCGCGGAACTCCGGCGATGTCCACATACGTGTTGCATGCGATGTAACGCCCACCCGTTCTCTGGCTCTACGCATTCAATACGACTGTGCGCGGGCTATGGCGAGGTCCACGTTTTGAAAACGCTGTGCCCTTCATCCGTGCAACACTCGGAAGCTTTCAAACGACTGTGTGCGGCACAGATTCGAGAGAGAGCAATTCG